GATCAGATTATCTTTCTTCTAGTCTACGTGGATGATATTATCATTACTGGCAGCTCTTCTCAATTTATTCAGCAGATTACTGATCAACTTAATTCCACATTTTCATTGAAACAGTTGGGCCAATTAGACTATTTCCTAGGCATTGAGATCAAACATTTACCTAACAAGTCCCTTCTCATGACTCAAAGCAAGTACATTCGAGATCTTCTACATAAAACCTCAATGGTTGAAGCTGTGACACCCTCTACCCCAACATAATTACAATAGATATAAACCATCTATATATAAATTCTTTTTTAGTCTAATATAAAATAATTATCTCAAGTATCATTGGGTAAAAGATGCACATTCATAATTTTCAACTGTAAGTATCAAATTGTCAAGAAATAATAAAATAAAGATTATAGATTAATCCCAGTAAAGGTGGCAGAGCCTCCTAGTTAGGAATTAACTTATAATCTTTTAGTAAAATTATAATATGACAAAAATACACACTTTCAACATAAATAACATAAAAATTACAAAAGAAAAATAATAATAATTTAACAATAAGTCTAGCTAATCCCGATGTCACATCCTATCAGAGCGAAACCCAAACAGAAGCCTAAGCTTCACCACCAACATCCTCAGCCTCATGCTAATTATCTGCATCATAATTTAAATATACACAAAAATGACAAGGGAGTGAGAAACTTCTCACTCAGTTGCAGATATAGAAATAAAAGTTAAATAGCACACACACACGCAATATAATTCACATATATAATCAATCTCACATATATGCTTATGTATAATGATTTTCTTGACTTGACTCACTAATGTATGCATGTGGCGCCATACGGAAGTTGCAGAATTCATCACTGGTGACCCGAAGGCACACCTATACAATTGTCGGTGACCCTAAGGTACACCTATCATTGGTGTTCATACACCTCGTTAGCATATCGTGGGTGACCCAAAGGTACACCTTGTTAGTCGTGGGTATGCGGCCTCAGCGGCACACCTGGAGTAATATGTGCATATGATGCATGTCATACATTCACAGACTCAACCTTTAGCATGTTACACATATCATATTCATATTTCATAATTAAGAATTATTTCAATAATCCAATTTAATAGTCCAATAGTCCAACAGTCCAAACAGTCCAACAGTCCAAACAGTCCAACAGTCCAACAGTCCAACAATCCAACAGTCCAGAGGTTGCTTAGGTATCATATTTTTCAATAATAATATATTAAGATCTTTTAAGTAAAGTAGGAAGCTTAAAAGGTAATATAAGATAATAAGGAGGCTCAGCCTTCCATTTAAATAATAGATTACAAATTTATAAATACTTAGGAGGCTTAGCCTTCCATTCAAATAACAGATTCTAATATGTAAATAAATAAGATATAAAACAAAACACATCAATAATACATATTCAAAGAAATAAACAACAGGCAAGGGATCGGGAGCCAATCCAACAAACAAACTATTTAACAATTATTCCCACACCCCCAAGCGAGCTTTCCCACTCCCCCCTTACCTGGGTTTACAGAAATTTGGGCAGAATCTCCTCCTCTCTATCTTTAAAAAGGAATCGGAATTAGGGCAAAATCTCTTCCTCTTTCTCCTTAAACAAGATACTAGAGCAAAACTCTATTTCTTTCTCCTTCTCTCTCTCTTACTTTCTCTCTCTATTTCTCCAGAATTTCCTTCTCTCTAAAATTCTGAATTTTCAAAACCTTAGGCCTCTATTTATAGAATTTTTGAAGTTACTATGCACTATGCACTATTCATTAAAATAATATTATAAATTACTATGCACTATGCACTATTCATTATTATATTCAAATTAATTAAAATTTTGAAACGGAAAGAATCCGCAGCCCACGTTTCAGCCGCCCCTTCACTGTGCAATTGCATAGTGTATACATAAATAATAAAAATATGTATTCATAAATAGTAAAATACGTATACGTAAATAGTAAAATACATAAATAAAATACTTATTCACATAATAAATACATAAAAAAATATTTCTTTTCATTGAATAAAATTTGGGATGTTACAGAAGCTCATCCAATTTCTTCTTCTATGCTCTCTGGCTACAAATTGTCTAAGTTCGGTGCTGATTTGTTTCAGGATCCAACACCTTATAGGTTAGTAGTTGGTGTTTTTCAATATGCAACTCTCACAAGACCTGAAATAAGTTTTGCAGTTAACAAAGTTTGCCAATTCATGGCCAACCCTTGGATTCTCACTAGGTGGCTATGAAAAGAATTCTAAGATATCTTAAGGGTACTCTTTCTCATGGTCTTCACATGAAATTTGTTGTTATTGGCAAACCTTTCTCCATTACAGCTATGTGTGGTTTTATTGGGCATCTGATATTGATGACAAAAAATGTACCTCTAGTTCTGCTATATATTTAGGACCCAATTTGATTTCTTGGTGGTCTAGAAAACAAGTTACAGCTCGATCCAACATTAAGGCTGAATACCGTAGTATAGCTCACACCTCTGCTGAGTTAACCTGGATTAAGGCTCTGTTATAGGAACTCCAGGTTCCGTTTTCCACTCTTGTTCTCCTCTGTGATAACCAAAGTGCAGTAGCTATTGCTCATAATCCCGTTTTTCATAGTCGCACTAAACACATGGAAATCGATGTATTTTTTGTTCGAGAGCAGGTTCTATCCAAGCAGCTTTTGGTTTACCACATTCCATCTTTGGATCAATGGGCAAATGTATTGACCAAGTCTCTTTCTCCAGCCAAATTTCAATTTCTTAGAGACAAACTCAATGTGAAGAGTTTTTTTGACAAACCTCCACCTTGAGTTTGTAGGGGGGTATTAGAGAGTAATATGGAAAATATTACTCTTCTCTTCTGTCTTTTGTCATTCTGTTATTTCATTAGAACATTCTAGTTGCCACCTATCCTATTTGTTATGGTTTGTTATTTTGTAATCATCACTTGACAGCACTACCAGCAAGAGATGGCTTCTATAAAAGGTTCCTATGGTATTCCTTTACAGTATGAGTGAAATGAAATGAAAATATACCCTTATAACTTAATCTTTCTCTCTAATCTTCTCTAACACGCGTCATCCAAACAATCTACAAATCTAAACAGTCTCCTCCTCCTCTTATTGACATTTGGCGCACGTGATACTTTGATAAGCACCGAACTATGATCGGATTTAAAAATAGGCAAGTGAAGGACAAGATCATTAGGAAAACGAATATGCCAATCAATATTATTAAGTGCCTTTCCAATAAATCTACCCTCTTCCAAGTAAAAACAGGGCCTTGGAATGGAAACCCACATCAATTAGATCACACTCTTGGAAATCCTTTGCACCCCTACAAGAGGGATTGGTATAACCTCCACTTCGATCATAAGAATCAAGAATAGTATTAAAATCACACCCACTATTGCCCAAGCCTCGTTGATTGTTTAAGCCAACTAAACACACCGATCCCACATGATTTACGTTTTTGATAGTTATTACGACTACCATTAACCACTGTTAGAAGCCATTTTCCTTGATTTCTTCATCCCACTCTCATGTGAACATACTGTTCATCGTTGCAAAGAACCTCAACATGCCAAAGATCTCAATTCCATAAGCACTATATACCCCTAGCATGGCCATGTGCATCCACGATAAACTTCCTATCAAATTCCAATTTTGCTCATGATTATAATTGCATAATTGTAATAAAAAATACCATTAGCCGTATTATATTTAAGTTAAAAAACCTTATATCTCTCGTAGAAATTGGTTGGAGCATGAACGCTATAATTTCTGCACTCGCAAGCCTTTGCAAGCTGTTTGACCAATTGATTGTCATCATGGTTTTATTATAGAGGTTATATCCTTTACAACCAAAGAACTTAGTGCTTTATTAGTCCTTTCTCTCAAATGATACAAATAGTGCCTCTTGTGTACGACATGCTAATTATATGATTTGTGATTATAACAATGCTATTCCTTCTATTTACATACACCAAGATAATTTTACACTTACGGAAGAGAACATGGATTATTTTTAATTTTTAACTTGCTTCATCTCACCTTTCATTTTGAAAAATAGTCTTTTTGGTCCAAAAAAATGCACGAAAGAAGCCTTTTTCCATTTCCAAGGACAATTTTTTTACGGGCATTTATTATCAGCCAACAACTGTGGATGTTAATGACAATAATTAACCAACTCAGTTTTGGAAGTATAATGTTCGATCTGACAAGTACTGATTTTTGGCTATAGCTACAATGCTCATAAATCAGTACAAAAAATGATAGAAACGATAAAATTTGTGTAATTTATCTGCGAGCTTTGTTTACCCAACAAAATGTTGACCAGTCTAAAGCAATTTCTAAATATGGTCAGTTACCTATATAAACAGTTATCTCCTATCTAACTAGAGGTTTTCACTCAATTCTACCACTCATACATGTACCTATTACTTCATCTCATTAGTTTCGCTAAAGATACGTTGGAATATAATTCTCCAAAAATATTTATAGCAGAAAAAAATTATAAAAAAAATGAAATATTTTTTTATAAATTAAATTTAACTTATATATATATATATATATATATATATGAAGAAGGTTATAATAATACCGAAGTAACTTTTATTAAGTATTACACCGCTCAATAACTTTATATTAAATGTGAATTTTAAAAATCTAACCGTTAGATTGAAAGTTCATATCTCTTAAGTCATATATACAAAATTTTATATTAATCCAAGATGATATGATACTTTATTCTTATAAAACAAAATTGACATAATATATATTCATTTCAAAATATATTAAAATATGAACATTTTGATTACTTTCAAGTTGTTGTTCAATTTTTACAAAATTTGATATACACATATACTAGTATAAATTTTCTTATTAATTTTTTTAAAATTTTATTTAAAGTACTTTCGGAGAAGTAATACATGCCATATATAATGAAATCTCAAAGCTGGAAGCCCAAAACAGATCAGAACAAATAAGATGTGTTTAATCATCAGGAATATGCGTAAACTTATAAAATGAAATAAGCATTCTCTATAATTTATATGCACTATTTACATATCCAATGGCCATTGAAAGGCACAATTAGCCCACTAGGTTCCTCATGGATTAAAACGCTTTCTAATGAAGCAAGAGAATTTCTTCCTAAACCAGTCATACATACCCAGAACCCCAATTGCACAAACAATCACAGAATTATCTTATCTCACTCTTTTTCTGGATTACCTTGAGAATTATTAATGGAGAAAAGCTTCTTGATGACCTTCACAATCACCACCATGCCTGGCTTGTTCCTAGTTGGAAGTAGTGCACCTTTGTTGGCATTGGCAACAGTTAATGATGGAACACATCTAAATTCAACCACTTCCCTTGAAGAAGAGGTAGCAGACCCTGTTGTTGTATACAACTCCTCATTCAAATCCTCCCACAACAAATCCATTCTCTCATCCTCCTCCTCCTCTAGTCCAATTTTTTTCCTACAATTTTCCACATATGAAAAACTCTTCCTCTGAGCCTCAGCTACAAGTTTTGCTCTAAAGAACTCATTTTCTTCTCCTTTGATTCCTTGGTAGGGATTGGGAGAAGCTGCAGGTGATAGATTCCAAAGTGGAGGTGAATCAATGTTATGTGCACAAGTATCATTGATTCTAGGGAAACTGAACTCCTCTGTCTCCATGGTTTGGCCAATCAAAACTTTGTATACAATGTTAGAGAGATGGGAAAAAATGCGTGTCTTTGGGGTAGGTTTGGGGGTGGGCCTAGAAGTTGTTTTGAAGAGGGTTTTAGTTCAACTGCTAAAATATCATGCACTTTTTTATTCACCACGAACTAACAATGATGTTTAAAGAAATTATAGCAATATTGTATCTAATATTAGATTTTTCAAAAAAAAATATAATTGATGTTATTGATTCTCAATCTAATATTAATTTTTGTAATATTAATTTTTTTAATTTGTCTTTATATAAATTACATCAATTTTAATGATTTATAACAAATAAAAATAATATATTTATTGAGAGATTGTGACTATTTTAATAAAATCATATAAAATAGTGACATGTTTATTATTTTTTAATGGGTAGGTAAAAAACTATAATTACAAGTCTCACTTATAGTTTTATAATTTTTAATTAATGATAAGCGTTTATTAAAAAATAGATTACTAACTTTCATCATATTTACTATACTCTTTTCAGATCACGTTTTGGATATATATATATATATTAACACACTTTCTCTTCAGAAAAATTCTGGATCATCGAATGAATGTTTCAAAAGTTGTTTCGAATTATTAAAATATTAATTTAAATAATAAAATATTAAATTAAATAATTATTTTATAATAAATTTATTAAAAGATATTAATATTTTAATTTTTTGTAGACTATTTCGGAATTTGTTTCGGAGATATAGGAATCCTCATCTCTTTATGCTCACTTATATTTTCAAGGAAGATCTTGGCCACTATAGGTAGGGCAGGACCATGCGTGCCTAAACATAACAGTAGGCAAAAAGGCAACAAAATCACTTATTCCACTGCTTAATTTATTATGAAAACAATAATTGACACGATACATATAAAAGAAAGTAAAGTGGAAGTGAGAAAATGACAAACCCAGAAAATTATTTTTCTATAATTATGTTAGAGGGTACCATGTATGTCCTTCCTTAATGATTAAAGGTTGATGAAATTAATGTAACTATAGGTGTTAGGATTGTGATTTGATGTCTAGAATGTACACCTATGCCTTTAAGGGCAGCCAAGGGATGCTTATTATCGCCGGATTGATAGGAGGAAGTGATTTGTATGTTAGTTATTTTCCACATTAGTGTTGACCATTTAAGCCATGAAAGAGATATTGCACCACTAGGACTCTTAAGACAACCTGTTCAAACTCCATAGGTTGAGTTACATCTCTTGTGTGATGGGCCCCACAATGGAATAAATTATTAAGTAATTTTATATCACATGAATTCTAACTAATTTTATATAAGAAATCACATGTAATAAGTGTAATTAATTTTAAGATAAAACTTAAATTCAGTAGTTTCTAATTAGTATAATTTTTCAATCAAAATTAAAGATTTATTTTGGTGATATATACTTATATTTAATATATATTTCATTAATATATATTTTTATATATTACTAAAGTAAATATATAATTTTAATTAAAAAAAACATTAATTGTATTTTTATTTTGTCTTTAATTTTATCTTATAAATCAATAAAGTTAAATATATATCATATAATAATTGGTTGAAATTATAGATACTTAAAAATATAGAATTATCTAATAATTTTTCCTCATGGGACACGTTATCACCATAATTTGAGTATGATTGTGATCAATACTAACACGTCATGAGAGTACAAAAGATAATGCTATACACATCAAACAAACAGTTAAAATGAGGCAAGTTAGTTTAAGAGTATAAACCAAGTAAACGGTGTTGGTCTAGAGTGCCAACCAATTTGTTATGAGACAAAATGTGTTTTTGGCTTATTTTCTACGCTCAAAATTTGCGGCCATTGGATTTTGTTATCGGAATGTGGCTCTTGATTTTGCCCCCCCATCGTTAATGAGGGATGACAAAATGCACCACATGCACATGACCAACCAAAATATAGATGGTTCTCACCAACCAGTTGAATATTTTGTCTGCTTGTTTGGCCTGAAACATTAAAATCAACCACTATTGTCCCATAATTATGTATTGACTCTGATTGAGAAGTTTTCTGAAGGGTAAACAAAAAGATATATGAAAGAGTACATTGATATGTTCATCGAAATAGAATTCACATGTTAATCCTTCGATTTTTATGTGTGTAGAAACAGTGGGTTTTATGTCGGTAACAGCGTAAAAGTCATTGATGTAAAAAATAAGTAGTTTTCTATATCATTTACATACATTTTAATCGATGCCAAAATATCATGAAAGACATATTGAATGACGCCATGGCTATTTTAATTTGACAATCATATTTGAATCTTGGTCCTAAAAACATTAAATTATAGAAAACTGTAATATTCCATTTTAAAATAAATAATAAATAAATTAAAATATTATATAAAAGAAATATTTTTATTAATAAAGAGTTAAATTAGGAGATTTTTGTGTTAGACGTACTAGGCCTAACTTAGAAGTTAATTAAACAAAAAAAGAAAAAGGGTAAAGGTATTGTGTGTTTTTTTTGAAACTCAGAGCACTTGTCGGAGAAAACTAAGAAAAGACCACTAAAGAAGACACAAATTAGTGTATGGAACTATAAAGAGTGTATTGTTTCGTATGATTGTCACTCTAGATAGGGGAAATTGAGATTGTCGAATCCTTTAGGCATATATGAGAGATAAGGGTAGAGGGATAATCCCTAAGTCCTATAGGTTGATAAATTTAATTTGTATGATTGCTTATAGATTTATTAGTCATTGATTCCTTTTATATTTTATGAATTTGAATGTAAATTCATGTTAGATTGAAATATTGGTGATGAATTGATGTGTTTGTAGATTAGGGTATTATATGAATGAATTTGAAAACATGGACCGATCGGATGAGTTTGCATAATTTGATAGTATAGTAATGTTATTTGAGTGTGGACAAATTAATTGACTGATTGGATGGTAAATAGAAGCAATGAATGGGTATGTATTGATAGACCAATTTTTGTATATCTTTCTATGTATTATTTTTTGTTTATTTGACTTTTTATTAGTATCATGTTGTGATATACTAGTTTTGATTTGTTCTAGTGAGTCATTTTGGTCTTAGATGTAAATTTTAGTTAATTTTCATAAATTTTTTTCTATTTTGATATTGTTTCTTGGGCAAGATATATCTAGAGCTCTTGATATCAGATTCTAGCGCTCTTGGTGTCCTAGAAAGATAAGAGAGAGTTCTACAACTTCTTGGCGTCCATTCCATCAATAGTGATGAGGTCCCTTCATATAACATCTTATAATACCACTTATTCAACTTATTCACCATTCATCAATTGTAAAACAACTTTAACAATAATATTTTCATCATACAATTCACGACGGCCACTCATTGGGCGCTTAGCGGCATTGAGGTAGGAAGTTTCTTGTCTCGCTCACGCCAAGCATCACACCAATCGCGCTTGATGTAATTAAGATAGAGAGTAGCCCCACACTCTCACGCTTGGCGTGGCAACACCCACACAAAACCCTGATCAGGTAGAGAGCTCTTTTCTTGACTCCACCTTTGACGCCACACATTTTAGCGCTCGACGTGAACCCAAGTAGAAACAAGCCTCTCATCTCTCACTCGACGTGATTCCAACCCGAGATTAGTCTCTCTCCTCACGCCCGATGCCACCAATCCTGCACCCAGCATGAGTGAGACAAAGACCTCTTTTTTAGAACCATGTCCAATGCGATATCAGATTCTACACTTGTGCATCACCCAATTTCCTAAAAATTAGAAAATCCCATGACATGCAACACAATAAACAACATTTATACAACATATACAAGATATAAATGAATTAATAGAACAAGTATATTGATTAATTAATATATTATAAATTAAAAAAGAGTTGTTATTAATAATTCAGAAATTTTTTTATAAATTTAAATCAATGATAAAAAATTATGGGTAATGACACGACAAATCATTACACTTGCTACTCAACAACTATTACGTAATGGAAGATTAAACAACATACATTACGATTAATGTTTATAATACAACTAGTAACTAGTACCAAATATATGCATACTATATACAAAATATGGTATCAATTGTAAAATAAACCTAAATGTCGGTCAACGTCTATAAAAAAAAATTAACTACATAAGAGTAGTCTACAAGAAAAAAGTAGTCACCTCCAATGTGACTATCCTCTAATTGTGCAATCATCGAGCTAATCATGTCTTACTCTCATACCAAGTATGATCATCATAGTTTCAACTACAAAGAAAACACAGGGTAAGCTAATGAAAAGAATTCAAGATAACAATTGATAAAACCTCATCATATTAGAATAATTCAATTTTCAACAGAACAACAACATCATCATCATAGCAACTTAACATCTCACAACATGTTCATCACATCAACATATATACATGTACATCATCTAATGCATCGTCATGCATGTCAACCACGGAGATCTCCTATATCTTAATGTGAGAAGTTTAAGTGGTTTGACCCTATCAAAATTGTTAATGTTGCAAGGATGTACGATGTTTATGTTGTTTAAGTAAATATGTTGTAAATTTGAAAATTGAATGTTGTATTAGTTGTATGTTGGTAAACCTGATAAGTTGAATGATAAAAGATGATGAAGTTAATAAGTTATAGATATGTGGGTTAGATACATATCTTAACTATGATACATAGAAACTAAAAGAGAGTTAAATATGTTTTCAAACTTCATATCCCATTGTGCAGATATACGTTGTGGTGCTCCAAGAGCTAGTTGAATCCTTTAGTAGGTAAGCTGACCTCTAAATGGCTAAGTTAATTTTTAGTTGTCTCTTTTAGGTTCTATGGTATTCTATGATGTTATATGTGTTAATTTGTAGTAAGTTGAGTACATCCTACATCAAAAATCAGCTTAAGCAACTAAAACAACTTACAATTTTGCAACATACTCAACTTACTACATATCAACACATATAACATTTTACAATACCACTTATTCATCATTCATCAATTGTAAAACAACCTTCACAATAATCTTTTCTTCATACAATTTGTGACGGATAAAATGTCGTCACTAATAATGATGACTTTTGTGACGAAAATT